TGTTGATATATTATGAACTAAGTGCAGGGCAACATAAAACATGCAAAGCTTTTCATAAAAATATCTTAAGTACCACTTATTGACTATTAATCTTTACTTGAGAGCTTAACTTAAAAGTCTCAGTTTTTACTCCCACAGGCTTCGGGTGGGAGTCGAGCACATTTGCATGAACAGTTACTCAGAAACTCAGCACCACACAGAATCAATCCTTGAATAGCCCTACATTCCTTCATGAGTTTCCTATAAAAAGACAGACTGCTTTGAATAAAAACCAGCGGTGTCCCTCACCAGTAGAATAAGGAACTGATTCAGGAATACAGATGTGATGTCTTACAACCAGCTACTGCAGCTGGTTTCATTAGTTTCCCTCCTACTTCTAAATTTTCAGGGAACCCCATAGCCAAGGTAACTGAGCATGCCTGCCACCCAGTAAGATTATTTCAAGGCATGTTACTTGTAAATTCTCGACAATCTTTTATGCTTTCACTTTCCATTCAATCACTATTTTGAGGTTCACTAAGATAGAAGAGCATATTTACTATAAGAACTGTGCCCCAGACACATTTAATATTAGATCTGGATTTGATACTTATAGGTACCTAAGTATCCATATCTGTATTGTAGCTCACCTACAGAAATTATTGCCACTTGATTGGAAAAAAGTACTATAAGAAGCAGCCACAAAGGATAATTTCTTGGCAAGCAAGTGCAAAGTTGTACCCTAAGTATCCATCATAAGAGAAGGCTCTTGTTAGTTATCCCTTTCTCCTATAAACTTTGGTACTTGTCAGACTGCACCAAGATAATTCAACTTGTTAAAGAGGCAGAAAACTAGCAAATTAAATATCATGTTGTCATTAGTGAGAATGCAGTGACTGGCATTCCCTCCACTATAATTAGTATTCATCCTTGCATGCTTTTCAAATACTAATTATGTTAGCTGCTTTGCAAAGCATTTTGACAATAGCACTTGTTCTGCAACATGGAGATATGCATGAATGAGAAAGAGAAGGGAAGTTTATTTCATGAAGGAACATTTATATGTAAGTCTTATAAACAGCAGAAGTATCAGTTATGATATACAGTAGCATTTTCTAAAGCAATATTAAGTAATACATTCACCTGGGCTTTTTAATAGCATGCCCACAAGTGCTTTCGACTAATGCCTCGCTGTATTAAGCACCATACACATCATAACCACCTACCAGCAATACTTCCCAGTCAGATCCCAATAGCTTTGCTGGGCAGCAGATACTGACTACAATTCTTCCAAGATACCTCCCCATTACTCTGAAAAACTAGTCCTTCTTCCTTTCACAGGAGAAGACTGATTTTTAATCTTCCTTGCCATGACTTCAAGAGTTAAAATTCAGTTTTTTCTTCCTAAAGCATTAGATTCCTTGGGGTTTGTATGCAAAGGCCATCCATTTGAAAGCCTTTTAGCCAGCTCCTGCTTAGCAAAGAGAACACTAATGTACAAATGTGATAAAAATAGATTGAGTTATTAGAGGTTGGACAAAGAACAGATATATTCACATAAATGGAAGAACATAAGGAAGCAAGAAGACAAATATAACACTTTATTTACTAAACACACTAAATTGAGTTAATGCCTAAACCCCTTCAGAGGCCAATCTAGCCCCAGAGTGATCTGCTACTGCCCCTCCATCACCTATATGTCTTGGCAGCAGAGAAAGGAGATGAACTCCTCATGTAATGCCAGGCTGGTGACTTCTTCAGACAGGAATTCTAGTGACATTACCATATCCTACAAGCAGACAGCACTGGAGTAGGACTTAGTTTTTCCAATCAGTTAAGTACCATTTCTCCTCTGTTGCCAGTCTGCATTAGCTATCAACTCCATCATGACAGCAAGCAAGCTGCAGTTTCTGCAGCTCAACTGAAAGTCACCTTCTGAGACACACAAGCTATTGCCAATTGTCTCCTCTAGGAACTAAACAGCATGCTGCAGTAACAGTCAGATTGCAACTAGTTTGATGCTAGCTTCAAAAACTTGCAAATCTTTTCACTGTGTCTCTATAGATACAATACACACACACAGAGCAAACGATGTGCAGAACTGGAATTGCCTTAGTTTATTGCTGTGAGAAAATGGGATCATTTTTGTACCTTAGTTCTCAACTAGATATATATATTTCCCCCACAGGGCACACAGAATATCAGGATAGTTTAGAGCTCAACACCAGGTTGAGTAAAACATACTGTGGCATTCAAAGGACTCACCCAACAAGGCTAAATAAGGCAACAGCTTAGTCAATTACTGATCTACAGAAACATCCAGAGTTCCATGAAATCCTTGATATAAAGTATAGGATTGCACACACTGCCTTCTGCTCTCAGGATTTTGGGCCATATTAATACTAGAATATACTTAAGCTGCTCTTATATTGTTTTCTATGTCCCCAGCATTTATTGAGATAGAAAGTGAAGAGGGAAAGATTCACTTAGAAAGGATCACAGAGAGAACTTCAGCTCACATTCAAAAGATGGAAAGTCAGTGCAGAAATACCAATGAAGTCTGTCAGCATGATGTAAATATACTGGCAAAAAAGTCATTAGAAATACAATAATCTGACTTCATGAGAATTAATCTTTGATTTGATTGATTGCCTTACTTTACTAACATTACGTTTTTCTTTTTGTTGTTGTTTCTTCTTACCAGCTCATAGAAAATCCATTGGTAATGTCAGTAAAGTAAGGCAATGAATCTCATTTAAGCTGTTGTTCCAGGCTTCTACAGATCCAGGTATTTAATTTCATCACCAAGAGACAGTACTGTAAAATTGACAAGGAAGGTTTTTGTTTTAAAAGATCCAAAAATCAGCTCTTGAACAAGTAATATTTGCACAACAATTTTTTTTCCTTCTGTTCAAAAAAGAGAAAAAAGTTTCCCACAAAGAAAACTATTAGGCAAGAGAAATGAGATTCTCAAGCTCACAGTATAATCAGCACTTGAAATACATGCATGACTTAATACAAACAGCATTATTTTTAGCAGTTTAACTGTGTGACAGCCATAAAGGACAAGCTGGGAAGAGAATCATCACTTTCCCCACATCTCTCAGTACAATTCCAAGCTGCATTCCACTTTTACTCAGCTCCTAAGAACTGAAGTGGAAGACCTGTAGTTTGCAGAACTATTAAGATGCAAACTTGTTTCTAGGAGCTTCTCCTCCAAGCCCAGAACATGAGAACATTTCTTTGAAATGGAGCACAGCGTTCATTTTCCACTGCTGCTCTCCTGAAGACACACCTGCTAGCATATAGATAGCTGGAAGCAGATTTTCTGAGCTTCATATTCAATACCACAAGGGAAATAAAAAACAGTTCATAGAATTGTAATGCAAAAAAATTTATTTTTTTAAAAAAAGCATTCAAGATACGGAAGATCACAATACAAGGGTCAACACAACACTGAAACAACTTGAAAAACTTTTGATTGAAAGCAATTATTAAATACAAAGACTAAATGCCAGCACTGCTTGTTGTACAAAGCTTATGATAGTGTATTTATACTGATTCCCTGAAAACCCCCTCAGTTTGAAGAAATATTAAATATTAAGGTCATAATTGAAATAAGTGTATGAAATTTAGAGTTGTTTTTGTCTCCATTTCTAAGCACTAGAATTGTGCTTAATGGTACAAAATGGGTAATAAAGGCACATTGCGGATTGAAAACAAGGCTCGAGATTCTAGCCATTAAACTCTGGCCTTTCTCTGGATGTCTTGTGAACACTCAAGCATACAGTAAAAAAAATCCAATCCTCTTGAAGTGGCTCAGATTGAAAAAATAATCCTGAACAAAAAAATGCAATTTAAAACTGTAAAACAAGTGCATACTCATGCATTTCTTACTGGTTCAAAGGACTGGAGGTTATGCAGTTTAGAAATGAAGTACCATTCAAAGCTTACGCTAGTTTTGTCATAGTGAAATAGAAATGCACACAGATATCATCATTCATCTGTCTGTTGTGTTGATAAAGGGGACAGATCCACTACTAAAAAGTTGAAGGTATTGGACAAAGCGATATACACACCTGTTTAACTTTCAACACAGCTTTCTCATTTCAAAAAAGCCTTAAAGAAAACACTTGCTTAATCTTCTTTTCTTTTAAATTACTAGGCTGCAAGCCTTGCGTGTCAAATTCTGCCACGAAGCATTCTCCAGTGTTAAGTTACAAAGTCCTGACAGGGATCCACTGCAATTATTAACAAAACTCCAGCCACAGGGGTGCACATCAGTGTACTGCATTTTAATCATGTTTACCATGACCAGCACAACTGGCTCTGTTTGCAAACCACATCAATGCCTATGAACTATTATGCAACTCAAAATCAGATGTAAGTAGTTTGAGAAAGCTGCATATGGATGCTATGAAAGATTACTCCAGCTGTACTGATCTGCACATGAATACAGTCAATCAGCTTACACTGAACATTTCTAGAACTACATAAAATCTAAGTTACAATGCATTGGCTCCCTGAGAAAAAAAGTGTTCTAACTACAGAAGTCTTTGGAACACCATCAGTACAGTGAATAAACATACCTCTTGCACTGCTATTATAGAGATATCTCCTGCTTTCACACTGATCAGATTTGCTTATGTTTTCAAAACAGACCTTATTGTCCATGTAAGTGACACTGAAATGGGAAGAGATGACTAGAAGCACCCTAGTACTAAAACTGGCTTATCTGTGATTACTTATATTTACAAACTAGAATGCATAGTTAGCACATTTGATGAAAACGCAGTAGTTAAGAGCACAGTTTACCTTATCAATTTCACTGTAGCAGATTATGTTTTCAAGAACTGCAAGATACTACAAGAAGTTTTCAAGTCTGAGGGTTTGGGAAAGCATACTTCTCCCTCCCCTCCCCCCTCAACATCCCCACCAGAGGGAGAACTTTCAAAGTGAACATGACATCTCCAGAGTTAAGTCTCCAAATAATAAAATAGTGCAGAGCAGAAGAATGAATTAAGTCAGGAATCATTTTATTTCTATCCAGTGTTGGAAGTATTAAGGATGGCATATGAACTCATTTCATCACTGTAATTTATGAAGTTATTCCATTCCTAGAAGAGACAAGGCTTATAAGTCTTATTTTTCCTTCTCAAGTACTTATTAAGCATGTGATTTATTTGGTATGTTCTAACTGTGTCTTCAGTCTTAAACCTCTTTCATTCTCTTCCCAGCCACTAAAATATCATAACTGGGCACGGAGAAGAAACATTGAGGCAGTCAGTAAATGAGAGGCTATTGAAAAATATTAAATTGCAACATACATTACACTTAACACTTGGGATGCTCACAACATACAGAAGACAACTTTATAATTTTGTGCTGTTTGCCAACTTTATGATCAGTACTGTAAAATTTGATTAGTACACATGCACAACACTTACTCTAGATTGTCCTGATTCGTCCAAATTTCTAGGCAATGTTTTATTTTGTACTTACTATCTTTAAGACAAAATATTGAAACTGGTTTCAGGTATTGTTGCCCAACTGGCTTTACTAGGAAGATTTAAATAGCATCTTCCACAATTATAGAATTAACACTCAGTACTTGTCAAAAACCTCCAAAAATTAAGGTACCGTGAAAAAGATTCTCAGTATGACCCATGCAATTGAACTGCTCCCAAAGTTTAAATTTATTTAGCATTCTAAGTTAGTGAAGACTTTGCATTTAGAAACTAATTCCAGATAGTTCTTAGGCCTCGTATGGCAGGAGATGAAACTGTTTAAAATTATCACTACCAACAGCAAAAAGTTTCCTCATAGGAAAGAAAGTATATACAAACTCATAATAGCCAGGCAATCAAACTCTTGCATTCCAATACATTAGTATTTAACCAAATTATTTCAACCAGTAGAATCCAACCAGAAATTCCTATTTCAGATTTTCTAAACATTTGATTACCTGTCAAAGGCTGTATTTTTCGTTTAAGTATGTTTTTCTTTCCCAATACAATCAACTCTGTTCAATGCATTTAAGACTAATCTGTAAACTGCTATTCTCTCCATCTATACAGATCTTTAGAGAGTATTAAGCAAGAAGGCTTACAGGATGCACTGATGCAGAGTTTTAGTTCAAGCTTAGCACTTATCTGAGCTGGTCTGCAAGCGATCTCTTACACGAGGTGGAAGTGTTTTTAACAACCTTTCTTCTACCATTAGACTATTCCGTTTTAGGAACTGACATTCTTCCAGTTCAGCGGGAAGCGATTCAAGATAGTTTCCAATGAGCTCTAAGTGAACAAGATTCAGTAGCTGGCCCACAAGGGGGGATAAATTCATCAGACTGTTATTTCCTAGAAGAAGAAATTGCAGCTTTTTGCACTGGAACAGTCTATCAGGCAACATTTCAATCTAGAAAGAAGAGAAAAGAGAAAAATAATATACATTAAAATTTGTTAACGCTGCTGCACATTCTCATATTACCCAATTTTGTTCTAGGGTAAGCAAGCTCTTTGTTTATGGAAGGATACAGAAAGGAATATGTAATGTTTTTATCATTAAGTGAGAAAGTTCCTGAGAACACCTCAGTGTTTTCATGTACCTGCTTTGTTGTGAAGATGCTTAGCTACTGGCAGAAGTCAAAACAGAAGCACAGCAGGGGAGAGCACATACATGTGTGCACACTCAAGTGTGTACAAATGCATGCAGGTGGCAGGGGTGAATAAACAGACCACTATTTCCTAAGAATCATTTAATGAAGCAGATTCTGTGGAGAGACATTAGCAGCTCCAGTGTTGTGAAGCCTGTAGAAGCAGTTAACCACACAGCATAGATGTAATTAGTCCCAATCCATGTTATTGATATTAACATCTAAAACCAATCTCACCAGTGAAAACAGTTCTAAACTTGAAGAGAAGTCTTAAGTCAAACCTGGACCCTACAATAATGAGCCAGTCAGCTTAGCATTGCTGATGATGTTACCAGGCATAATTATTTCCCCCATCCCAGCCAGGCAGCTGTGCTGCTCATAAACCAGCTGTTGATTTGCCAAGCTTTCACTGTGACAAAACAATGTAAAAATGTCACACTGCCAATTTCCATTAAAATGCTACACAGAATAGACAACTGTGAAAAACAGTAGGCACATTTTAGCATCTACCTGGTACTATCCTGAGTTATGGATCAGAGTCCTTAAGCCACTACAAGACCAGAGTGGTACTTAGTCAGTATTAAACAAGCTTTGATGACACCACAAAGTTCTTGCAATTACCACTTACTTTTATCTTCACTGAGTTTACTTTAAGCATGCATACCAAAAAAGCACTTTCAATCAGAAACTACCACAGAAGGAATGCAAAGTCAATATATAATTTAAAAAATACTTTAAGTAATTCAAAGTTCTACTTACATGGTTTTTAGTCAAAGCCAAGTACTGTAAGTTGCTCAGATAACCGATTTCTTCAGGGATGGAGGTTAGCTTATTATAGCTAAGATCCAAATATTGTAACTTTTTGCAAAGAAACAGCTGCAATGGAACATCTTTAATATTATTGTAATTTAGATACAATTGTTCCAGGTTTGATAACGCACCAATTTGCACTGGGATATATGAAATACTGTTGTGCCACAACTTTAAGCAAGACAAGTTCTTAAGGTGTTGAAAGCTAATGATTTCTTCCACGGTTCTGAGATTATTTTCTCTTAAGTCAATTTCATGCAAGTTGTTTAGGGTAAAAATGGAATGAGGAATGCGCTCCAGATCACAGCAGATTAATTCCAAGGTTCTCAAATTCACAAGCTTCTTCAAGTTATTTAGCACTATGAGTTTATTCCCCTCGTTGTTGATAGATAAGTGTTGCAAAGAAGGCAGATCTGTAACCACTTGAGGTATGCGAGAAAGGTTGTTTTTTAAGTGAATTGATCTTAGATTTTTTAGCCCCTGAAAGCTTTCATTGTAAATGGAGTTGTGATGATCAAGCATGAAATATCCTGTTAAGCACAATTCTTTGAGGTTTTTCAGATGAAACACCCAAAATGGAATTCTTCCCATCTCACTAGATTTCAGACGCAACGTTTTCAGATTTTCTTCTAAAAAGCTCACTGCTGGAAAATCCATAGTTATTGATGAATGATAAACATTGAGATCTTTGAGATTGACTAGCTGGGTCACAGCTGAAGGAAGCTTCGCTTCAGGAATAAGTTCCAAGCTTAGGACTTCTATTTCTGTCAGTTCAAAGACACTGTCTGGAAGACCGCTTAACATGAAAAGGTGCAGTTCAACCTTGTCCTGGGAATTTCTTACTAGCTTATTTTTCAGTTTTTCCACTGACCATTCATTGTTCAGATTGATCTGTTTCAGTTTGTTTTCACTCAAATCAGACAAGAATATTGAAAATCGTTGGGAATAAAGAGGATCATACTGGTCTGCCAAGTGGAGAATAAATGCAAAGTCATTCTTTACATCAGGTATATCGCTGTAGTTACTTTTCTCTCTCAACTTCTCAAAAGAATATTGCTTAAGTGAGCTTCTCAACATCCACCACAAGCTATATGTACAAGTTAAGCCATAGAAGATCACCAAAACAACATAAAATGAGGCCAAAACTTTAAAAATTTCTGCTAGCGAATAAACACACTGGTACCTTTTATAGCCTGTAAAGGCTTGTACATTAACTATGCAATCAATTTCAAGTTTAATAAAGGATAAATAATAGGGAACATAAATTATTATTATTACAAACACAATGACTTTGACTATGATCTGTTTCATATACACTCTGTATATGACATCCTTCTCTTCAACGTGCACTCTGAATTTCTTCACTTTTTCAAATATAGCTTTAGCCTGTTCTCCTTCTTTTTTGTCAAGAACACTTGAAGAAGTTTCTCTTCCGGTTGTTTCCAAGCCAGGTTGTGTATATGGCAGGGACTGTCTGCTGGCACCTACATCTACTGAACTTCCAGGCGATGAAATCACTGCTTTTGATTTGGCAACTGGCAACTTCCTCACAGACTGCTCAGCAACTGTTTCTGAGAGGGCACGCGTTGTCCATGGAGAATCAAAACACTTCTGAAGAATTGCTACAAAGTGCTCAAGCCTGGAACTTGTACTAGGATAGTAAAGCCAGAAATTACTGCAAGCTGCAAAAATAAAGGTATGCAGAAGCACTAGGTACGGAAAAAATTTGGCAAACCAATGAAGCTGTCTCTCATAACATACTGCATCAATATAGGAATACTGTTGCCGATGGAGATCATTCTGGATTTTAAGTGGGATGATTATCTGTGCAGTAGAGCTAGCAGACATGTTAAGGTTGGTTTTAATTAAATCCCAAGGCACAGCACAATGATTGTCAAATTCTAGCTTGCAAGGAAGACAACACAACACTCTGGTTTGAGTAAGCTGGAGTGCTCCAGCAAGCACAGCAACTAGCAGCATTATCATGGTGAGGTAATACCAGAAGACATCCCACCATGGTTTTAGTATGTGGTAGGATGACTGAGCATCTGCTAAGAATTTGAGTTCTGTTAGCGTGATCATGACTTTCACCTGTGAGAGAACAGCAGCTGGTAGAGAAAAAAAAAAAGACATCCTTAGAATTGTGAAAAACCATTTCTCTGTATTAAATGCTTGAAGCTTATGATTGTTTTCATGATTTGTGCATGTAGCACAACATTGGTTTAGCACCCACAGTATAGCAAAAGAATTTAAGAACTTCTGGCACTTAACCCTAGCCATGATCTCATTTTATTTTCTAGTGAAAGTTACTCAAAATGCAAAAAACTTAAAAGATACTACCAAAAGAAATCAGGGTGTTTTGATTAAACATTTGGGTACTGGTCAAGTAAAAGAAATAACCAGGTAGGAGTTAAAGTAGTACCTGAGATATTGATAGCAATCCTTCTCTTTAAGTTATTTCACTTACAAAAATAAAAAAAAAAAGTAATCAAAGCAATATGGTAAAAATCACTATTCTTGTAATTCATCATTTTATACTGGACTAAATAGTCTCTCCTAATCAGTAAAGGAATAAAAAACCCACCTCAAAACAGCAGTTTCACATTATATATCTTATATATAACTCCCAGACTTTTTCCACAACATTTAAGCATACTAATGAAAGTGTAGCTTTTTAACACAAATTGTCTGTTACTGTCATACATCCACATACAAGCATGTGCATGCTACATACATAAAACAGGCACATTTAGCCCCTAGCAGGGTAGCCTTGATTCATACTTACTTTATTTAAAAGAATAAAATACGCAGCACCTCTCAGTCAGGAGGTCTACACCTTTTAAAATTCCTTGGACATGCCATCTTTACATTTGTCTTCATTCTGGATGGAAAAGCATCAAGTATTCTTTATTTAGGCAAAGCCATTAAAATACAGGGCAAACATTTCAGTTTTCATCACAGTTTCTGCCTTACTGCAAGCATCAAGATCTGTTAAGCTCTGCATTGCTACAGCTACATTAATGGAACAGAGCATGCTCAGGCAAGATAATCTAGAATGTAAAGTCAGAGTCTCGCACAATCACACCAAGAATGAGAAAAGCCTACAGCTATCGCTATTTCACTGAAAATAATTTTTACACAAACAACTACAAGAAAATAAAAAAGGCCATACAAGACTTCAAGAAATAAAGATCAGTCATTTTTGATACGCCAAGGTTTGGCAAAAAGATAGGTTTCTCAGAAACATCAGCCTTTACTTACTGAAACAAACTAATCAAACATGCAGTGCCAATCACAATACCACAGGCACTACCAGTTTCTTACTATAAATTTGTTAAGCAGTACAGATAACAAGGAATGGCAATGTACTGCATTTTTCTTAATGTATTCTAAATGCAACTTTCAATTCCAATAAATAGAGCTGACTAGTGGCTTTAACAACACAAATAGCAGGTCTAAGGTAAAAACCACATTCTTACCCTACATTCTCATTTGAAGGGAGAGGAATGGCCAAAACCAAATTAATCCTTGTTTTGACAAGACTACTTAAGAAAACGCAGAAACTTACCAGGCCCACTCAAGGGAATGCAGGTGAAGAAGGACAGGATGGTAATAATACACCCCTGCAAAGAAATAAGGTATCATCAGGTTATGAAACATTTGGATCCCAGTAACTGAGTGTACAACAACAGTTCAGAACTTCTAAAGATTCAATAAGCAGAAGCTCTAGGTATAACAGTGTAAGATACCATCTCTGTAAAATATTTAGTCACCATCTGAGAAATACTTCTCCTGAAGCAGAGATGAAGTAACACTCCATTGTCACTGCTGACTGCTGACTCCATTGTCACTGCTTAAAAGCCATTTCAGCTAAAATGCTTTTGTATTTATAGTTACCAATTCTAATGCTGAGATTCATTCTAACCACAGCTGGAAGCATTAATTTCTTCATTCACTCCAGCTCAACTTGCAAAAACATCTGTAAGCATCTTTAAATTATTTTTATATATATATATATTTTGTATATATTTTTAAAATATACATAACAAAGAAAACACCTGGAAAAGTCACAGAATTAGATGAATTTAAAACAGTGTGAAAAGTCAAATTTTTGTGAGAATGGGAGTACTTCACTTACTGGAGAACAGGAGGACCTTATCAGGGGGCAGAGCAGATAACATTTTAAGAAATTGCTTTTACAATTAAGCACTTACTGGAGAAAGTGACAAGAAATACAATTTCATGCATATATGTTATTTGATACAAAGAAAACTTCATAACAAACCCATTTTAGGGAACATGACAGACTCTTGTTTAATATCAGTTACGAAATTCAGGGTATGATGAAACAGTTGAGTCATACTACTGTCATTAACACTGGTTAATGTTTTTGGTTTGTTATTCTTCTAAAGTTACTTTTAGAAAAATAGAAAATCAAACTTATTAAAACTATACTTGAGTATAAGCATAAATCCAAACATCTTCAATAAATGTCATAGCGTTCTAAAGTTGTGTGTAAGTAGACCAAGAACTCAGTTTGAGACTGACCCTTGTAATTTTTTAAGGTCTGTTTCTATAAAATGCTCTGTCACCTCCCTACCTCCAAGTACAAACTTGCCAGTCCCTATGGCATACCCTAGAAAGAAGGCTATGTTCTCACTGTGGTTTTGAAACACTTCTAGCAAAAAACGTGCATCTCCATAGTAAGTGTTTACGTCTTGAATCTCTCTTCTTCTCAATGACTACTTTTTGAAACTTCCTGATGAAGCACATGCACAATTACAGGTATACAAAAACAGGTATACAATAGCTTTCCTATTGGAGAAATACAGAGTACATACAAGTGTAATACAAGAGTGAATTATTAATGATAATTTTGCACAAGACAGCTTTCTTTCAGATCCCATCTGTGCACCAGGAGCGACTAAACAAATGGAATAATGTCGGAGTGTAATGGGTCTGATGATTCCCATCCCCAGCAGCTTTCAACCCATATCAAAGCCATAAAAGCTTTTCAAAGTAGCCAAATTCAATTGGCACTCTTTCTCAGAAGACAAGACGTAGAAAAATAGCCCCAGGCTAAGTGATGACTTCAGGAGTTACCCCAGACTAGAATCATGCCTCAGCCATAAAGACAAAGCAATCACATTCGCTAATATCTAGGCAATTTTTAATTACTTCATATTTACAAATTTAATAAAGAGAAACAAATCTAGAACAGGAATGAGGCTATCATTTTGAAAAATGTCTATTACTGCCAGAAATGCCTTCTCCCAAAAAGGTTTCTTAGTGTTGTATTGCCCTGTAATTGGGTTGCTGCTTACATAATTTTAGACAATCAGTCAGGGACAACTTTTCTTATTCCCCCAAACAAAAATGGGCTCCAAAAGCTAATATCTGATTGGAGGTTTTATGTTTAAACAATTTACAAAACCAGTGCAGCCTTAACTTTTTAAATTTGACTGTTGTTTCTAACACTGAGTTAATAAAAATAGATGTATAAAACTAAAGCATACTTCAAGGGGTATCCCAGTGACCCTCACAAATATCCTTGAAGGAAAATTGGAACAACCCACACCCATCCATACCCATCCCCTGAAACATTTGGTTAAAATTTCCCCTTCTATTGGCATGCCACCAACTCCTCCTTCAAGTGACCATAATCAACAAAAAAGCCCAGGTATACAGGGAGAGTTCTGGGGCAGCCCTGACTTCATGAAGAATGAGATCACTACAGAGCTTTTAGAGACTCTTTAAAGATTCAGACACCTGCAGCTTCTTTCAATTTCAGCTTTCTGTTGACAAGGGATCTCAACTCAAGCATTATGTTTGATATGTGGCCTCCCAGAATATGTACTTTGACCACCTGCGTGCACATGAAAACTTTTAGTTTTAGGATCTGTTAGATGGGGATTGTAGTTTTGTATTCCACTGAACATAAACAACACGCAAACGAGATTAGAGAAAGCTTCTTTCCAGTTCCTTCTGAAGAGGTCACGAGTGATGATTAAACTTATACAAGTGATTATCCTTTTCCATTCAAAATAAGCCTGAAGTCACTCCCAAACTTCTCAAAAACCATTCCAGAACCACAGGATGTTCAGGGCTATCATAACAACAGTGCTATACTTTCCATATCAACCTTTCAAATCATTAAGTGCCTACAGATCTTTAATTCAAAGATCTTAACCACAACAATTAGACAATCTCAATCATCTCTGTATGGATTAACAGCTCCTCAACATTCCTGTGAACAGGACAGCAGTGCTGAACAAAACGTGGAATAGTCCTATGCTGCTTGAGAAACAATCCTTTCTCCAGAGAAGGCTGCTTACATAAGGCTATTAGGTCCATCCATTTCTGGATGAAAATGCAATCATTTTTAGTATAAAATTTAGTAAATCAGGTTATGCTTCCACTTTTATTTCATATGAGTTACCCTCCTCCTCTGCTACTGCTTCAGGTAATTGCACAGCACATAAGCTGATACAAAAGTTTTGCAGAATTCACCAACTACTATCCAGCAGTGTCACTACCATTCTTGTAGCAAGCTGGGAAACTGGATTAGCAAACAACTTGGCAAAGATGCTGTGAATAGTTCTCCCAATTACCCAGAAGATTGAACATTCTCAGGTTCAAGATAGGTAGCCTCTGAGCAGGAAAAAAAGTTATCCTGAAGACAGCTTCACCTAAACACAGAAGCAGTCTTGATTTTTACTACTTCCTTTTTCTGGTACACTTAATGCAGGCAAGATACTTTATCTTGTAATCTAATCTAAACTCTAATTTGATTTGCTTTACAAACAAAAGACTCATTACTGAAATTTAAGTAGGACTAGGTACATCATACTGTGCATTTCCAAGCTATACTGCAGCACTGCAAAAAAGACCATTATCTTCCTCAATCCATATGTTGTTAACTTCTCCTTAAATGCCACAAATAAAGATTAAATCAGTTCTCCTTAAACAAGACCAGTAAAGAATTAATCTGTGGTAGCAAAATATGTCACTGGTCAAAAACTTGCCGGGGACTGGTTTATCTCCAAGTATTCTGGCTGCACAGGTAGTTCAAATTATAGACTTGTAGGCAACACAACAACGAGCCACTGAGTATCTGAGCTCTGCTTAAGTGCTTCAAATTACTTGAGCTTAATCGTGAGGATGGATGGTAGGAAGAAACCAAGTTAAATATGTTGAGGGTTAAACTTCATTATGAAACTATTGCAAAGCTATGGGATATGTGCATCTAGAAAAAATCAGTACATTTAATTTCATAGTGGTCTTGGCTGGAGAGCAATTTTAAATACAAACTCAGATTCAGATGTTCATGTTTCAGCTTTAAGAGTAGCACTTACCCAGACAAGTTCAAGATGTCACCTCAGCATCTGGAAGGCAGACTGCCCTCTAGCTAAAAAACATATGCTCCCAGGAAGGCCTGATTTAGTGAGAAACATCTAGGCATACATGATAAAAACAGAAATGCAATTCCCAGCTTCAGTCCAAGCTCAAGACCAAATAGCAGATGAGAGAAGCAACCTACACAAAAAACAGTGCAAAACAAGGCTAAGAAAAAAACAGCAAGTTAAGAGCCACATTTCTGGATGGCACGTTAAAGCTGAATGGGCAAGCCACTGACAGTAAGAAAACTAAAATAAAATGAAGTACACCAGCTTTGTCTGTTTTACAAGTCACTGCATCAATGCAACTGATCTTTTTGAAAGCAAGTTTTCTGCATTCTGGGCAGGTATTAATTCACAGTGATGTTTTACCACAGTGCTTTCCAAGGTCCCTACCAAACCAAGCAGAATCCAGACTGAATCAGTTCTGGTGTACTTTTCTAGTAGTGAGCAACAGCTTGTATAGCTTTAGTGGACCAGCACTACTTGCAAACTCAGATGTATATTTTAAAAAACATATTAATTCTATATCAGGCAGGGATACAAATATGACAGAGGAAGGATTTCCACTATACAGATAAGTATTATAGCATCGAGGCCTCCTTTTTCACATTAATGTAAATTTTCAGCCAAATTGCATGCAGTCATTTTGCTAGACTATGGATTTATTTTCCGCTCACGTTCACAGCCTTTTAATTCTTCTAAACTACAAATAAGTTAATTTGCATCTTTTATTAAGCTTACTAGCATCTAAAATATTGATTGCCATAAATACAAAATAAGCAGAGCTTTGTTGCATTGGTTGTACAAAGAACTCAAAAGGTAAATTCACATTTTGTTCCTTCCTAGCATTTAGGTAATAATTTGACCAACTTATTTAATATGTATTTCTCAGGGAAAACTCTCTCCACTAAGTTTTTTTTTTTTTTTAATTGTGTTAGTTTCCATTTCTTCAAACACTTGTATGTTCCATGTGCTCTCCGCTAAAAGGGAATTTTAAATAGTGTACCAAAACTTCACATAGATGCTACGATCTTAAAACAATCAGCTACTTAAAGCTCTACCATCAATATTCTGCTTGACGATTCCTCAAGAAGCACAGCAAAATCCATTCAAGTACAAAAAGTAACTAGAAAGATTTCCAGAGGCTTTTTTTTTTTTTTTAAAGGGAGCATAAACAAGATGTAGCTCTGCAGACTGCCAGACCGTTGAACACTAAGGAGCTC